AAGTTTTTACTTAGTAATGTCAAGAAAGAAAAATGGCTTAATATATGACAAGCACTCACAAATGCGAAGATACATTTTATCAGCCTCATATAGAAATACATTCTTACTCATCCCGAATGTATAATAATTAATACTAAGAAAGTAGAAAAATCTCATTTATTTCACCTCAACTTTATTAATATAGATGATTGCAAATTAAAGATAGTTTTATATTTACTTGCAAAGTCATTGCCACAAATTATGTCCATGTATGCTATTTGCAAAGCATTCAAAGTTAGAAGTATAAATAATATTTGGCTATCAGGAAAATTCCTAATAATAACTCCATGAGAACTAATTTATATACCTAAAGCGCAAGACTATTGTAAATAAGAGATAAGTACTATAAACTACAGAACACAATCCAGGTGACTATACCAATCTACACCAAAGGATGACAAAATGATTTTATTTATCCTGAAGAAACAACCGTTTTATAAAGCATGGAAGAGAATAGGGTCCTTTTAAAATTTAGGGAAATATTCTCATTCATTTTTACTTAAAATATATTTTGCTTTTCAATGAGCTATTACTGCATTCATATATCTCTCCTGTATTTCCTGTATAAATGGGTAAGAGAACCAATATCTTAGAATTCTTTCTTTACTTTTTATTTTTTCCCTTTCAAAATACAAAAGTCAGAAAAGTTATAATGATGCTCTCTTGATCTGCCTGAATGTCTTAATTCTTTCAGACATAAAGTGCCATGTATTACTATCTATTGTTTTTAGATAATACTGCTGTTGGCTAAATATACACAGAATGACTGAGGAGCCTACAAGCTTTTGTGCTGTGCTCACATGAAGTTTGTGGTCTAATTTTTAATATTAGCCCCTACTTGAAAAGCTCCATTTGAAACCAGCAACTCGAGATGGAAAGCCAAATGAGCCTTTGCTCACAGAACACCAGGACACTGCTGATGAGGTTTCCAGTAGCTTCGTCATGTCACTGTTTGAAACTGTATTTCAGTGCCTAGGTTTGACTTACGCCCTCTTTCAATTCCGAGATGCTGTGATGTCTGCCTTTCCTACTCTTTGTCCTGCTCTGAGCTCACTTCAGATATCCTAGAATCCAGAGTGTGCCCATTAGTCTCACATGTCCAAACCAACAAAGTTGTGTGATTAGGTTTCCAGCTTTAACACAGTGCTTGAGATGTTGCTATATAGCTCATTAGTCTGAGAACTTGACTTGTAGCCGTTTTGAGGTAGTAGCTACCAGTTAGTGAAATCCTCACGCAAGAGCTAATGACATTTCAGGATAAATTAGGTGTCCTCCATCAATATAGCAACCTGAACATTTCCCGGAACATTGCCCTAGTCTGGTGAAAACTTTGTGAGGTCATTTACAATTTCCGGTGCAGTCATGATGGTCTTTCTCTCTCTTTTTTAAAATATATATTTATTTATTTCAGAGAGAAAGTGAGAGGAAGAAAGAGAGACAGAAACATCAATGATGAGAGAGTCATTGATTGGCTGCCTCCTGCACACCCCACACTGGGGACTGAGCCTGCAACCTGGGCATGTGCAAGTATCAGACCGGGACCTCCTGGTTCATAGGTTGACGCTCAACCACAGAGCCACAGTGGCCAGGCACGATGATCATTCTCTTGATCTTTCACTCATTTCTTCATCCACCAAATATATATTTAGCATCTAACTGTGTATGACAGCGTGATAAAAATGAAGTTTATAAGTTTAATGTGCAGTCATTGAAAAAAAACTTTCAAATCTAATCAAAAGTTGTTACCAACTATGTAACATTGTACACAAACACCCAGGTACACCTTGAAAAGGATTAGACAGCTACACCTCAGAGTGTTGTTATGGTGGTTACCTCCAGATTCCAGGACTTTGGGCAGTGGTGCTGGTAACAGTGCAACAGCTGGCTCTCTGTGCTCTAGAGAAGTAAGTCTAAGGTATTGGTTCATTTATCCATTTGTGTGGAAAAGATCAAAGAGAAAAATTTTTAAAGCACTTATTTAAAAAGCATTTCTCAATAAAAATGCATTTTCAAAAAAAAAAGCCCTGCTTTATAGCATTTGTTGATTTCCAAAGTATAGTAATCACACATGGTTTTCTTTCAACCTACCACAGGAATATCAAGTGGCTTACAAAGTTGCAACTCATATGCCAGTATGAGCCCTCTCCAGCACACCTCTGATTGGCTGACTTCTACTTTATGCTTTTCTTGTTTTCAAAATATCTTTACTGATAATAGTGGTATTCCCCCCCACCCAGCCCCTGGGAAAAAAACTAGGTAGTCAGGTATAGGGGTGGGGGTAGGCTCTATCTTTGTTGTGCCTTTTAAATTTTGAAGCCTGAAATGTATTGCCAAATTTTTTATTATAATTTAAAATGTTTAATCCTCGGTAAATATTTGTTACCATTGGGATCAAAAACAGTGAATATTTCTAATGTCTCATATACAATTAATACATATGTATATGTGTGAAACATTAAAGAACAATAGAAGGTGTCACATGTTAGAATGCCAAAAGGAGTGGCTCAGTTTTTAAAACTGCACTGGAGGCTAATGGGGGGAGAAATTCATTCAGCTGAAAGGTCAGTGAAGATCTGAGTAGAGCAGAGAGAAAGGAGGCGGGAGACACGCAGATGGTGAGCAGACTGGCCACTGTGCCTGGCATTTATACTCCTGCTGAATGATATCACTTTCTCCAACTCTGCCAGAGCCGGAGCAGGCACTGCCCAGGGTCTATTTCTTACTGCCTCCCTCCGACTTCATCTGGCTCCAGGGCAGGCTGCGAATCAGCCCAAATGGAGATAAGATTGGAGCCAGAGACTGACATGAAGAGCAGAGAAACGGATGCACATCAACTCTGCTAATAATATGAATGTCTCTCAGTGTTCTCCAGCAGGCACTCTGTGGTCTAACTCACCAAGCCTAATTCACAGAGGAACAGCTCCAGTTCTTGTTCTTGTGCTTCCTACCAAGCAGGCAAAACGGGCTCTGATGAAGCGCCACGACCTCACTCACCCACCTCCCAAAATGAGCTTCCTGCGGCGTGCAGAAGAGCTCCCCCAGGAGCTAGGAAGAACCTATGGGGACCTGGGCCTGCACCTAACCCCTGCCAGTCAGAGGATAACAGATCAATATTCATTTTGACAGGCATTTTTCAACATTAACTCTCACAAAAAAACACACCTATCATTTGGATACTTATCACAGCAGTCCAACTTGAATTCGATATTCTCAAAAGCCAAATTGAGGAAAGCAATTTACATGGTGTATTTCTTGAAGGACATGGTCCTTTTATCAGGGTTTCATACAGCAGGCACTGCTGGCGTGTTAAGCAGGAAAACCTGGTTGTACAGGATTTTCAGACACACAACCAAGTCCCATTTTAAAGACCTCCACTCGGAGATGCACATCACTGGCATCCCTACAGATGTGCTTTCTCCAAAGTGCATGTGGCGTGATGTCACCAGCGACAGGAAACCCTCTGAACTTGTCCCTCTAAAGATACTACATTTGCCCATAGAAGGCCATTGGGGGAATACGACTCTGGTCTCAGAACCAAGAATGGTTGCATTGTCTTAATCACCCAGCTAGGTTTCAATGTTTTCTTTGCCCTGGTTTACATAATTCATTTTATTTGCATCTTGTTGCCCCAAAGATATCTCTATAAGCCACCTTAAATTTTTTGTGTGAAAGAAAGCAGAGAATAAATAAATGACAAAGGAAATGACGAGACAAAGAGATGGGTGAGATTGAGACCAAAGGAAGAACAATAACTTCAGCAACAATAATGGGAAAAAAGAACAACATGAACCATAACACAAGGTCTGTCAGGGTGACGGGAGGTTAGGAGATGTCACAGTGGACGTGTAAAAACACTGGACTCAAGAATCAGAAGAAGTGGGTTTGGGTCCTGACTCTGTCACTATCAACTACATGATTCCATAAAGCCTGAGTGTAAGCAGAGAGAGGGTGACTAGGAACCCCGCTCTTCCTGTCCTCTTGCTATATTATGTTCTCCATATACATTTGCTTCTGTTTGCCCTTTAGTGTTTAGTAAAGATTTGCAAAGTCCAAGGTGGCCTTGTCTCTGATGAGAGAAACCAAGAAACTTCTGATTGCCCCTGAAAAGGATCATTAACACCTTCGTATACATAAAGCACATTACATACTTAAACTCTTTCATCTTCACAGCAACCTATAAAGTAGCTACTATTATCCTCATTTTACAGATGAGAAAAGTGAGGTGCAGAGAGGTGATGGGATTTGCCCAAGGTCCACAGATAGTAAGGGGTCGTGCAGGTACTCACAATGATGAACGTGAAGAAAGTTTCATTGGCAGAAGTGGAGTTATTCTTTCAGGAAGGAATGAATCGTTTTAAGTTGCTTGGTATTATTTAATAGCAATTTATGTGTATGCCAGGTGACAGGAATGAATTTCTTTTGGCTCCTACCCATTAGTCCCACCTGCTCTCCTATTCATGCTTCTGCACGTGGGAGAGGCTGGGAAATACTAGACAGCATTCTGATTTAACTCGCATTCAAGGACACAGCTTCAACCGCTGCAATCCACAACTGTATTGAACAAAAAGTTTCCTGTCAGGGCTAAAATTCTAAGACTATTAAACTCAAAACCCAGGCAATTTCCTAAAGAAACAGAAAATAGTGTTTTTGAATAGAAGTAATCACAAATAACAAGTACGTTTGACATTGAGGAAGGTGTCTCATGAGGAATTTAGTGACTGCTAAATTTGTTTTAGGAATGGTGACTTCTGTGTGCTCTTAGCAACATCAAAAGCAGCTCCTTCTGCTTTGGGGCAGATCTCCATGACTTCTGTTTGTGATTTTGCATAATATAGCACAATTATTCTAGCTGTTTATGCCAATCTTGGATATAGCATGTCTTGCTTTTGTTTACTTCTCTTTCATGTGCTCATTTAACCAGATGTAATAAAAACACAGGAAACCCCAGCAGCCACACTTACCTGTGATCCAAGTGGTGAATGGAGAGAATAACTCCGGAATTTAGGTGGGTCTGTTTTAGGGTCACCAAAATAGTAAACTCATGTTTATTTCTCAGCTTCTGAAAGAACTGGTCCGCTGTGGCAGTGGATGCTTTTATACTTCTGGGAGTGTCTGAAAGAGAAACATACACTAAATCGACTAGAATTTGGTTTTACAAAGTGCCCTTTAGATGCAACATCTTTCAAGAAACAATGATAAATACCAAGTTTCTGACTTCCCTGATAAACTCTTTCAACAAGACTTTAGGCTACTTATAACCAGACAGTAAACCACCAAATTACTCAGCTTGTGTTTCAGGAATCTCTTTTCCAAAATGTCACTGTTGAGGTAAAGAATCAAAGAACCCAGTTTGAAAAAGAAAGTACATTCTCAAGTTTTCTCCTTGTACACTTCCTATATCCTGGACACTACCACCACATCAGTGTCAACAGTGAACAAAGAAGATGTACTTTCTAGACAGGGACCTAAAAGACCACGATGAAGACATTTAGTTTTTCCGACACCTCATGACAGAAAATTGGATTTAAATCTATGTGCCATGTTCCACAGTGATGTCTTTAGCCAGAAGGTTTTCTCTAAATAGATTGTTTAAAAGATCATTGTAATTAGTCACTCTCAGCCTTCTGTGAAGTGGATGAAACATTAAGATCAAATTATCTTACCATATTTGTGGAAAGACTGTCATAGAACTTAATTCCCATGTGCCTCTCTTCTGGCTTAGAGAAAGCCTAGCCAAGGGAGTGCAGAGACCTGTGCCCAGCACTTCCACCTGGCATAGCCTTGCACTCCAGCCTTACCACCCAAAGGATATAGGGAAACACATAGGGAGAGAAATGGACTCAGTGGACAGGAAAAAAACATCTAAGCCATCTGCTAACTGAGCATAAGGCTCTCCTATTCACAGTGTGTGCAAAGGACTTATGGAGCCAGAAATTGTTTTGTTTTGGTTTTTCTTGTGATCAAATCATTCTCCTATTTTCCATGCTTTAGACTAGGTAGACTAGTTAAGTAGTTCTCAGTGGAGGAACCACTGGCATTTGGAGAGAACAATCCCTCCTCATGCTAAACTGTCCCATGAACTGCAGAACATTTAGCATGCCTGGGTGCCAGCCCAGGAATGCCAGTGGCACCCAACCCCCAGTCACGGGACAACTCAGAGTTCTCTCGCGCCTTTCCGAGCATTCTTTGGGAGCAGTGCAGCAGGAATCTCACTGAGAACCACAACCTTCATGAAACGGATTATAGGATTAATCCAAAACTGCCCAACATTCTAGCCCTATACATTTCAGGAATAAAGATGTAATCGCCTGGTCTGTACCCATCACTGGGATTATGCAGATGTGGAGAAGCCCTCAAGATACCCATAGAATCTCAGAGGGAAGGCAGGGGAGGGGGGGTGGGTGGGTGGTAAGAAATCAACCAAGAACTTGTATGCATATATGCATAACCCAGGGACACAGACAATAGGGTGGTGAAGGCCCGGGGTGCGAGGTGGGGGTGGGCTATAAGGGGTAAATGGGGAGGGAGACATATTTTCAACAATAAAGATTTAATTTAAAAGAATAAAAAAATAAATGATACCCATAGACTAGAGGAAGGAACAGATAATCCCAATACAATGAAGGAAATGCTGTCACACAGGGGGCACAAAGTGTTGTGGGATCATGGAGGGAAAAGCAGCTAACATCATCTAGCAGTGGTTCTCAACCTTCTGGCCCTTTAAATACAGTTCCTCATGTTGTGACCCAACCATAAAATTATTTTCATTGCTACTTCATAACTGTAATGTTGCTACTGTTATGAATCGTAATGTAAATATCTGATATGCAGGATGGTCTTAGGCGACCCCTGTGAAAGGGTCGTTCGACCGCCAAAGGGGTCGCGACCCACAGGTTGAGAACCGCTGAAAGGGAAGGCTCCCATAAAATAGATGGCATTTGATCATGGATGCACCAGCTACCAAGGAGAGGGAAAAGCATTCCGGTCATAGGACTGGCTTGTGAAAAAGCAGAGTGTTGTGGAAGGGCATGCCATGTCTAAAACAGTGACTAGCAGCCATCGCGGACGGACGGGAGAGGAAAGCTGGGCTTGGCTGGCGCGACCTCCTGTGCCTATGGAATGGACACCTGTCGTTGCTTCTGTCACCATCATCAATTTAGCCTCTTGGTTAAAAATATATATATATATATAAAGAACACGTATTCACCCTCCCCACTCTTAACCTATAACTTCCTCCAAGCTGAAAGTACCCGGACCAATCAGCAATCAGCGCATCACTTACTCATGTCCACAGTATTCCAAGCAGGAATGGGCACCTGTCCAGGGCAATGAAGTCAGGCCCAGGGTATTTGCTCAAAGTTTTAGGAAAAAGAAACTTCCTCCGTTCCGATATTCACAATTCCAATATTTAACAATGACCTGCAATATCTGCCATAATCAATGTAGTGGTTTTAAACCCACATTCCATGCTGTTCTCGCAAAGCCCTGGAAACTGGATGGGGCCACAATTCCTGTTTCCTTTCTCCATGAGCCAAGGAACACTCCTGGGATTCACCCAAAGGCACGCAGCATGCTACAGGTATAACGGGGGTGACCATTTCTGGCCCAGTATTATTTCCTCTAAACTGCACCACCTCCGACCATGGCATTCTTTATCAGTGCTCTACTGCCACTCACAGAGAGAAAGGCAAAGACGAGAGCAAGACCACAGAAAACGATTCAGGAAAAAGTAATTATATAAGATAACATTTTTAGTTCCGTAAGTCACTAGCTTAGAAGTGATTTTAAGAAAGGTCACTTTCCCCATTTGCGTTTCTGCTTCCAATTTGTAAAATTAGCACTCCTGCCTTCTATTTTCATCTCGAGGATTATATAATGTTCAGAGGGACTTCTGGGTTCCTGTGGTTATTACTATACAACCTGATTCTGTTCCTCACCAGAAAATCAAGTCAAGGAAATGACCATGTGAGAATGAACTTTACTTCATTTCAGTTTTCAGAATTAATCATTTAATTCGGGTATGTATTATGCAATTTCTCAACAAGGCCTCCTGTTAGGAACAAGCATAGAAAATAAAGCATAGAGGTTATCAGAACACACTCTGAGGTCCCAATGCCAGCTACAGAGATTACGCTAGCTCGGGCAGCATGTAAACACCATGTGTTGGCAATTAGGACTACGATACTGATTAGTGTTACTCTTACATGCAGTGAGACTATGGAACCCACTAAGACTACCAAAAGCCATAATACCATTGTGGCAATATTCTGAGCTCACTTTCAGTCTCGCTATTCCAAACTCAGTCACAAAATATCAGTTTACACATTTGAAAATGGACATAAAATGTTTTGGCAATCAAATTATTCTTAAGATAAAATCCTGCCTACTACTCTCTGTTTCTAGATAACTACAAATGATCATTCTTTTATGGACAAAAATCAATGTAAACTGTATTTCTTTTTAAAGAAGAACTGAAAAAGGCTGACAAAATTGCCACTTCAGAGAAAAGCGGGCTGAGAAAAAGAGCCTGTAAATGCTACTACGAAGACCTACAGGAAAACTTAGCAACATGCCCATGCTGCATTGGATCCTTCTAATTGGAGAACTGCTTGACGTTAAAAGTTTGTCTCAACATTTTCCATTTTTATTGTGTGCAGAGACTAAAAATCCCACTGAGAAAACAACTAGTGGCATTTTAAAGCACTTGTTAATATATAATGAAGCTCAAAAGCAATTAGATCAAATATTCCTTTTTAGTCATGGGACTACCAGGATGGAGTGATGAGTTCATGTAGGGATGTAGTAAGAATTTCTAGACATTTAAACAACATGTTATGAATGACCCATATAAGAGGAGAAAGAGGAGAGGGGGGAGGGGGGAGGAAGAGGAAGAGAGAGAATACTGGTAATTCTAAAATAGGCTAATAGCCCTGGCCAGTGTTGCTCAGTGATTAGAGCATCAGCCCACAGACAGAGGGGTCGATGGTTCCATTTGGGTCAAGAGCGTATGAGAGGCAACCAATCATATGTCTCTCTCACATGGATTTCTCTCTCTCTCTTTCTCTTTCTCTGTCTCTCCCCCTCCCTTCCACTATCTCCAAAAAAATCACTGGAAAAAATATCCTCTGGTTTGACAAAAATAATAAAAATGAAATAGGCTGATAGACTGTAGCTCAATGCAATTATGTATGTGATAGCAAATATGGGTGTTTACTGAAAAAGGGAGTCAGAGTGGAGCTTTTAAAAGCAGTTGAAGTGCATTAGTAGTAAAAGTAAAGAGAAGGGATTTGTTCATCTTTCAGTACCAAAGAAATTGGTAAGAATTTTCTTTTGCACTTAAACTGCATCACTACAATTGCCATCATGAATTAAATAAGCCTCTGCCCACTGACAGGTCTCTATCCCATCTGCAGGGTGTAGAAACCTCAATTGATTTCCTCCCACATAACCAGACTAATAAAAGTACCATGTTCAAATTCAATTATAAAAACAGTCTAATCCCAGGCATGGTGCATTTGATTGAGAATGTTTCCACTCACCAAATTTGTTTCAGTCTCTGACTATGAAAGGTTGTTGTCTTCTAAATTCAGGTTATAAATATACCAAATTAGAACTATTGTTATAGTTATTGTCCATTGCTCTTACTCTCCCTTCAATATATCCATGTCTTTAGAGTGCAAACTTTCAAGGCAAAATAATAGTAACAATCTTAAAAACCATTAAAATTTTATTAATGCTGCATATGCGGTTTGCAAAGTCCTTAAACATAAACAATCTCATTTAAGCTTCACAGCACATGGAATAAATAGGATTATTTGGTCCATCTAAATAGAAATTACCAGTGAGGGGAGAAAGGCACAGGGAAGCCAAGACACTTGAGATTATCACTGTAAGTGATTCAAAATCAGAGGTCACTTTTATGAACTGACTATATGGGGAACTTGGTTGGAAACCTCGGAGACTCCCAGGTGAAATTTGAAACTGGCCCCAGGACATAAGGGCAAAGAGAGACTGAATAAATAGGCAGGCCACTCCAGATTGGTAGGCAGCCGATTTAATATGCAAGGGAATTTACATATGAGACTTGTCTTGGAGGCTGAAAGACAAGTAGA